TGTGTTTTAAAACACATTTTGCCTCCTTACTTGCACATAAACGATAGAAACCTACCTGTTTGGAGACCTTGAGGCAGTGCTATGAAAACATGCATCTTCCCTGTGCCCTTCAGACTCTCATCGACTCAAACTCACCTTGAATGAACACATGCACTCCCACCCTGCTGGCAGACAGGAGCTCAACCTTTGAAAGCAGGGGTGGAGGGTCCAGCTTCAGCAGGATTTACAAACAGGTGCTTCGTCAAGATGAACCGAGTGTTGTGGATTTTTTTCTTTCTTTTACCAAATAAAGTGTAGCACCATTGCTGCACCAGTACAATGGATAGAATTGTGTCACCAGGTCAATCTGATAGGTTGCATATTAAGGGGAGATATGAACGTGGCCTTCCAAAGTGGAGAGAAAATCGAAAGAAAAGGAGTAGGTTTAATTAGCAAAAAGGTTAAAAAAAAAAAAAAAAAGGAAGATATGGGTGCTGCAGGGAAGAAAGTCGTTTTGCTTTATAAGCTCATTGCTACTCATTTATTAATAAAGAAATAAATCTTTTCTCATAATTTGTTGGTTCTAATCCAAAAAAACACCGAACCTTTTTGGTAGGAAATAAATTGGCTACTTAAAGGTGAAAACTTCGGAAAACTTCTGTCAAGGAATAAAAACATTCCTGGAATTCTTTGCATATTACAATTACTGCTAATTACTGCCACAAGTAAACCCCAGGTATCCGTTTTATTTCCCTTTGGGATTAATAAAATACTTTTGAATTGAATTGTAATCTACAGCAACAATGCAATACTTTTTAAAATCTGGAAAGTTACATCTCACCTCTGCTTCTGTTAAACTCTAAGCCTTGTTCTAAAAAGGTTAATAATGGAAAATAAATGTTATGTGAACTATGTGATAGTAAAAAATAAAGCTAATGTAAACATTGAACGAATGTCTGTGTAATGTTTTACAAATGTATTGCATAAATAAAGTTAACACAGGAAGATTTTACTCCCCTTTACTACTTATTTCACTACCTTTACAAAATTTTTACTAACAATACAAAATCAAGAATATGTCTTAATTAAGACCCATCCATGTTAGCTTAACAATTTTTAATGTATTTAATTAGGTTTTTTCATTCAACTTAATTGTCTGAGTTAATAAAAAATCGGTTTCCTCAAATCACTTCAATTTAACTAGTCAAGCTTTGCAACAAGTGATTTAACAGGAAATTAGAACTGTAAATATTCAGTCATATGTTTATATTACTATTTTTATTATGTATTTATTACTGTTTCCAAGGCTGCAATTTAAAATATGAAATTGTCTAAAGCTGTTCTAAATTAAATTCATTTTTGTTTACACTGGTATATAAAAATGCAAAAATAAATCTAAGTCTAACACAATGCATTGTGCACAGCAGCATGGACAGCAGAGTCTAGCAACATCAGCTCAGGTCCTGCCATATATAATTCTTATACAGATTTTATAGTCTAAATAAGAATCAATGAAAAAGTCAGAATATATTGTAGGGGTGACGAAAAATTTACGACCCAGTCAAATTCTGTATGTTACCTTTTATTACCTTTCAACAACCTTCATTTGAGGTCATTCAATTTACTACCTTTGATTACCTCATAGATAAAAAGCAATAATGCTTAAATAAATCATGGGGAAATTCTTCGTTTGAATTCAGATAAACATTTATAAAGCGTGCATTATCATTTAAGTGTGTATTTAACTTAATCATATTTATCGTTGCTCAACTTAGTTGGTTCTGCTGGCTAATCATCATGTATATTTACATTAATCAACTTAATAATTAATCATAGTCCTATTTTGCATCACATTATGCTTTTTTAACATCAGTTTTACCCTAGAGTCAGAGGAAGTGATACTCCTATAGGCCATGCGATTTGTTTTTGTGCAGATTATCCAATCAGCTCGTTAAAGGCCTCTTTAACGAGCTGAAGTGACAGTGTGTAGTATTTCACAAGAGGCTGTAGAAGTGGAAATGACTGGAAAATGTCGATATTTACGCAACAGGTTAAATATCGCTGTTTAACGACACATTTAAATTATTTATTTATACAAAAAATATCTGTTAGTGGCACTGAATATGAAACGAATCTTACAAAAATTTTCTAACAATTTGTAAATTCCTGTACGGCTATGTAGAATATGATCACCATGTTTATTCTTGCTTGTTTTTATAATCTCTCAGTTTGAAATTTTCCACTATTAGACCTAATATCTGTATACAGTCAGGCATTTTATTGTGGATTCACCGGTCATTTTTCTAATAAAACTTTTGGTTTAATATCAATGTGCCGTAAAGAATTAAAAGCTTTAAAGTTCTGGACAAAAAATCCAAGTTTTTTCTTCACCAAAAACACCTATGAAGGATTTTTTAGGATTTGAAAAGTTTCAACATGAAAATGTCTTTTATGTATCCTGATATCCCAAAAAAATGATTATTTTCATGAATTTTTTTCGAATTCATTTTGTGGGATTAAAGATGTTGATCTTGTTTAAAGTGATTAAATCTAGTTTGTTATCTTAAGGTAAGGAAATCTTTTTTGTGTACAAATTTGTTATTTTAAACAATAATAATTAAACACTAATTCTTCATGAACAGATGTATTGTCTCAGGGTGTTGAGAAAACAACATGATCAAAATGTCTCCTTTCAGATCATAGATACATCATCCTATAATTATAGATGATTCAAAATTGAGCTTTCTTTGATACTGTTTAATTTCCTCATAATGTGGAAGCTGAAACTCTTGAACAGAATATTAACGTATCAATTTTAACCCAAAGATCAATGCTGCAGATTATCATTGAGCGTCATGATTGAAAGATAATTAACTCTCGACTTGGAGAAAAAGGACATATTAATCAATGGCAGAAGCAAAGCTGGACGGCTTTCTCAGTTCAATTTCAATATAACTGTACAAAGTGCTTAACTGTAGATTTAAATCATAAAGTCAAAACCATCTATTTTGGTAAAACAGAAGAAGATCAACTTTTCAGGCTCATACTTTATTAAGGCAGTTTAGGATCCCTGAATTTCTCTAAATGTCTTTGTTAGCAATTTAAAGGAAAACATTCTGTTAAAACACACAAAAAAAACTACTAAAACTCTTCTTTTAGTCAGTGTATTTTGGGTCATTTGATTTTATTTTAGAAATGGATATCAAATAAAACAAATAACAAGAGGCTATCCAATTTTTGTTCAAAAATACAAAACCAGTAATTAAAACACAATCTTTCTTTTTCTGTGTCAAAAAGTTTAGGCAAAACGTTTCTTTCCTTTATTATTTTAATATTTTAATAACCATTAAAACTATTTACTTTAAAACAGAGAGAAAAAAGTGTGTGCGGATGTTGTCGCTTCATAAGCGCACCATATTTGAGAGGGTGCTGCAGTATTGCTGCTTTAGCCCCGATTAGAACATCTTTAGAACCTTAATCAGTTGGGATTTTGGAGATGGCCAATTAGGGCTCGCCTTTCATAGAAATCTCAGCACAAATTTTACAAGGAAGTTATGGAGCAAGAGAATGCTCTGCAAGAAACGTGATATTTTGCACTAAAAAAATCATGCAATGGTCTGTTTTTGCACTGCACTTCATTAACACAGAGGACCCCAAAGCTCCTCTCGCTAAAATCAGACCTTCACCCATTGACACAAACATTCACATGCTGATGGGGGTGAGCTGCTTTGTAGCCACAGCAGCCCTGGGCATTGACAGTAGCCAGGCTGCCATACAAGGCCGCCGGGCCCTCTGGCCACTCAAAGTAGGCAAGGCGAGGAAGTGTTTTGCCAGAGAGCCTGAGATCATTAGAGCAGAGGGGATGAACCAGCGAGCCAACAGCTGTAGGACAAACGCCTACCTCCTGAGCCATGGGATTGAAAAAAAACAGATTTTTGCTGTAGAGTCAACAACAAAATGCAGCTCATGTCTACTGACACCACATCCAGGAAAGGCCAACCCTGCAATGTCAAAGACTGGATGCAACCAGCTGAGCTCCCTTAGATAGAAAACTTTGAAGCACTGATTGAAAGTGCCTTAAGTTGACGTGTAATGTTTATAGATATAAACTAAATTAAATCAAATGTTAGCAGGCATTATTTTTCTCTCCATTTTGAGATATATGTATCCTTTTCAATTATTGGTGCTCTTATGAAATAATTGAAAACATCCTGTGTGGAAAAATGAGAAAATGTGCTTTTTAAGTAACGTCATTTAGTATTAATCGAAACAGAAAATGAAATGCAAATTGATTTCAAAGTTTCTCTCATCCCTTTTCCCACAGATAAAAGAGACCCACTTTCAATTACAAATTTTCTTTTTTTATTTTGCATCATAAAAAAATAAAATAGCCCATTTTTCTTTTTTTTTTAACATAGTTTCTAAAAGGAACATGGATGACCAAAGGATACACTGACCGTTTTTTGTACGGAGGAAATTTCAAGCTACTGAACAGGTTTGTGATTAGAAAGGGTTTAGAAGAAAATATGAATCTGCTGATATCCGGCAAGCTTTTGGAGGGAAAGCAAACCAAACCCACCTTTTGCCCTCTGTGAACTCTAAACATACAAAGCAACGTCTTGCTTCCTTTTTCTGCTCTGAACCTGACTGAGTCACATCAGCCTCCGTCAGTCAGAGCTTGACTGCATGTGCCAGCATATTGTACTTCCATGTTGGTGACTCAGCTCATCCGGGTTGTTTCAACATGCTTTTATACGAGCAGCACAGACAGAGATATGCTTTCCCACCTTTTAATGTAACACCGCAAGAGACTTCAGGGAACAAAGCCAATACAGTGCTGCATACAGAGAAGCCTTCCACTTTTTACCACCTGCTTCAGTTCAATAAATCCTAACATTTCCATTAGCTGCAAAGAAAAAGATTGTTTGGTTTTCTACTAAAAATAAATTGAGAACAATGAAGGCCATATTGGGGTAAAACTTCATCATGGATGTTAAGTTTAAACATGAAATGGGTTTTACCTGGTATAAGCGGCTGTCCGGTCATTCCTATAGGAGGCATCCCCATGTTGTTCATAGCTGCCCAGGGGTTGGGGTCTGACATGGGCATCGTCATTGAGTTGGAGTCCATTGTCATGTTACAGATCCCTTCTGCAAAACAAAACAAAAAGGAAAATGGGCTGCTGGATGAACAGTACATCAAAAAACAAGCCTGAACCAAAGGAGGCAGTGATTCTCAGCTGGGCCGATAGGTATATAAAATAAATTCCAGCAAACCATGAAATTTTAAACACCTTTTTGAAATGCTGTCATTTTTTATTTTACTTCCAAGGATCACTACTAGTGAAGGAACATTTACTGTAATCCAGTTACTGTTCTTTCTTGCAGCACCTGTACTATGGCAGGAACTGATGTGCATGGCATTGGTAGAGAACAACAGAGTCTCTGCCATCTCTTGTCTGGCTGCACAGCCTGTAAACCCTTATTTAATCTCTACATCACAAACTGTAGCGCCACTGTCACTTTGATGTAACCAAGTCAGCAAGGCTGTGAATAACCAGTGAGTCAGAAGAGCAGGAGAACTTTGGCTTTCTGATGCAAATTAAGGAATCAGATGAAGTTTTAAGTGTTGTACTCATAACAGCTCAGGTTTCATTTAACAATCTTTAAGATGTGGTAATCACCTACCAAGAGATGTATTAATATACAACTTGGTACAGTTTAATGATATATTTTGGAGGACATACAGAAGCAAATAGTGTAAAAATGACTTTGCTAGAATTTAAACATAAGTGGGACTCTGGAGTAAGAATGTTGTGTTTTTAAGGCCATTTTCTAGTCAACAATTGTTCCTTTGTTTGTTCTCTGAGGGGACAGAAGGGCTACCGTTGGTCTGCAGTCAGTCTCTGAGCACTGATTTCAACAGTACTGTCACGGACATCTATTTATTTTAGCACTGTTTGTTTTGTAGCTTTAGCCGGCTGGCCTCGACACTTTCTGTCTCAGTGACCAGCACTGAGAGCCAACTGGAATTGACCCTGTATCACTTTGGAAAAGCAACAACGATTTTTTTTAGCCTTCCCTGGCAGAGAAAGGTCTACAAATGGGATTATATTAGTAATATCAACAAGAAAAGGAACACCGATGAGTCTTCCCTTCTGCTTTTCTCTTCGAGGCCATAGAAAATAATGTCTAAAAGGAGATTATTATGGCACTAAGCATAAATCCTGATTGTATCTAGTACTGCTCAGACAGCCTGTTACTAAAATGTTGATAAATCTTCTATTAAGCCCAGAATTATGCACACATCTTGCCAAACCAACAGGCCCAGAGTTCCTGTACTCGAGTGCTGCATATTAAAGCGAATGCACGATAAAAATGCTGCAAGAAGGTCAACATGTACACATCATATGTCAACCGGCAGCTTATTCTTCCCATCTATTTCACAGCTCTAAACGCTCTTTAATTCTCTCATCTGGTGGACCTCTTTCTCTCTGACAGACCTGTAAATTGCTGTGACTGCTGGCCAAGCCCGGCTGCCCTCTTCTACAATGCCAAAGCAAGCACAACTGGTAATGATGGGGAAAGCAGCACTCTGCGCACCCTTTACACAGCACAAGGTCTCAGGCAGAGCGTACTTCGGAGCCAACAGGTATAAATGTATGTGCTTCTGTCTGAACACCAGCCAATATATTGGTATTCTTGGAGTTGAGACACAGCTGGCAATGTGTAATAATGCTGTGTGCCTCTTTGCCTTCCTCTCTGAGTCACTAATTGCAGAGCTGTCTGCCGTTGCTGCCACAGAGAGGTCTGATAAAACCATGCGTGCCTGTGTGTCACTGTGATAATGCTGCTGACGAGGACTTCACAAGCTTGTTAACGAACACAGTCCTATTAACTGGGGACACTTTTACAGGAGTTAAAATGAAGGAGGAGAAGAGCGGTAGGGAGCTGTTTTATAGCGGTTTTATTACAGTTTACAGTACATTAACCAGACTCTCCAGAGAGCTGATGAGTAAACTCAATCTGAGTTGGACAGGTGATGTCTTCTGTTTAGAAGAGTCTTTCAGGGTCCATAAAACCAATAATGATCAGTAACCGTAAATAAAAAATAAAGAGTTTATAGTAATGTTGTTTATCAGGTTTACAAGAATTTTGGATGGACAAACAAATGGAAGGAATTCATTATATAAAAAAATATAACAGAGCCTACAGATGGATGGACAGACGGATGGCTGCCCAAACAATAGAATGGATTCACAGACAATCAAACTGATATAAACCAATAAATGGAAAGATAAAAGAAATATGAATCGTGGAATGGTGATGAATGGATAGATGAAACTGTCAGTTTGTTTGTATTGAAGTTTTTTTCTGCCATGATTGAGTTCCAACGAGATTAAAAACCTCTTTTTTTTTTCAGGGTAGTCCAAGCGAAGAAGCAGCAACAATACAAAAAAGTAGAAAAGGGGGAAAATGTTATGCAATTTAAGAAAAACAAAAACATTTGCCTAAAGAACTTTTAGTTTGAAATAAAAAACCACTTCCTGAGCAGAGAGGAATAAAATTAGGTTAATCCAATTCAGTCCACGCAAAAGAAAGAAAGAAGCAACAAATTAATGAAGAAAAATGTTTTTTGAGTATCAAAAATCGGTACCGTAATTTTCGGACTATTAGCCGCACCCGAATATAAGCCGCAGGAGCTAAATTGCATGATTTGTACATATACAAGCCGCACCGGACAATAAACCGCAGGTTTTTTATGTTTAACACAAACTGTCTTGCGCTCGCAAAGTCCGTCTTTCTCGCTGTCTTTCTGTCTCGTACCAGTGAGGACCTCCGCATTCCCGCACGCGCGGCTACCGTACTTGTGTGTTGAAGAAAATGTTATGTCAACATGGTGGATGGTAAAATCCATAGATTTAGGTATTACCCTAGTGGCCGTTAGTTGTAAAAGTCCATAGATAAGCCGCATTGTTATATAAGCCGCAAGGTCGAAAAATGTGGAAAAAGTTGTGGCTTATAGTCCGAAAATTACGGTAATATGATTTCAGCCATTTTAGACCACAGATATAAGATAACTAGATAAGAAATATCCATAGTTTATTTTTATTTTAGTTTCCCTCTATAAAGTCTTCCTTCAATGTATTTAGATGATCAATTAGGAAAAAAAATCTAATTTAAAAAAAAAAAAAAACTCATTGTGTGATCAGACTGGAATTAACTAAAGGAACTAGATACAAATTATATTCTTTTTGTTTCTAACCTTTTTTTAAGCCTTAAGACAATAAAGATAAGATAAAAAGATGGTGCTTATCCATACTCTAAATGCAGGTTTAAGAAAAACGTTTATTATTGTATCAATAGTCTCAAGGATAAAAACATGAACAAAAATCCATCCATTCTAGTTCCTGGCCAGAGGACGGGCCACATATTGATTGTGTGGCTGAAATTAAAGTCCCACGCTTTTAATCGATTCAGTCAGAAATGTTCAAGTGTGCCCAGAGTACAGGTCAAGTTATCTCCACTATGCTCGCCTCTTGACCCAGCAGACAAAAGTCTCCATTTGAGTCCGTCACACCAGCATTCATGCGCTTCTACTGCCGCACACATTCGCTTAGCCGTCTGAATTTGTACACCAATTTATTTTCATCATACAAAATACGTGCCAGTGGTAAATCCGCTCTTCCATTTCCACAGCATACATCTTATTTTATTCAACTTTCTGGGGGTCAGCGTCTGTATGCCCGTCCTTCAGTACTTTTGAAATGACAACATGCCCTTGAGGGCATCAGTTTAGCCCCTAAACGTGCCATGTGACACTCATGGACTGATATGTGACATCTAGGAAGGAATAACAAACATCTCCCGATGCTCAGGGCTTACAAATGGATGAGGGTACAGAGCAGACAGATTCACCTTGGTAGAAAGACTAGAAATATAGTAAATACCAAAAAATATCTAAAAATGAAGCCATAAATGTCTAACTGAAAAAATAAATATAAGCTTAAAGGAAAGACTGAAAAATAAATTCATATTTTCTCTCAAATAAATATTTCATGCTAATGGCGAATCTAATTACATCGTTTGAGCGATCATAGCATGTGTAGCACAAGACCTCCTGACACAGAGGACGGCAAAATGTGGAGCTCTGAAGGCTGAGACTTAATAAGTCAATCTGGTTAAGCTTGGCCGCATTTAAATCGAGGTGTAGAGGTCAACATTTTTCCTCTCCTCGTGGGATGGCCTAGCACCATTTAGAAATGCAATGCTTTGAAATGCTGTAAAACAGACAGGATTACAACATGTCCCCTTTTTTTTAGGTTACAGATTTTTGCACTCTTAGACACAGTAGAAATCTGTTTAAAGCCTTAGAAAATCTATGGAGAAAATGATCAATAAATTCATTCTGTTTCAGTCATGTCAGTTAAAAAGGAAAACGTACATTATCTAGTGTCATTTTCCACATTGCAGTATATTGAAAGCATAATTTTCTGTTGACTGTGAGTTGGAAAAAAACGGTTTTCAAGAAATCAAGATTAAAATGTATTAAAGAAATAAAAATATTTTAACACAGAAATGCTTGAGTAAATAATTGGAGTCTGGGGACGCACTGATAGAAAACTTTGGGCCTGTATAAATATTAATATTGCCGTTATGGCTGATTTCCCTACCATTTGGACACGGTGAAAAAAGGGGCAGAGTGCTTTAGTTAAACAGCCAGAGTCCTGTGCTGTGGCTCTATCACTGTAGCATGACCAAACAAACATTACATGACCTATCCCATGACCATCAGCTGTTAAAAATTGCAGTTTTACTTATTAGCCATATACCTATGTTTAAAATCACTAACATCAGCAGATATAGATGTCAATGCAGATATATCCTGCATCCCTAATGGGGTCTGACAAAAAAATCTAAAGAATCTAGCTACTTATAAAGCACCCCTGCATCCATGCAGATTTAAAAAGTTGAGTGGAAGGAAAAACTGGGCTAAAAAAAGGTGCAAAAGGAACAGGATCACTACACCATTTGCAGGTATGCTAAGCCAGGTGCACGGAGACACTGCATTAAGAGTCACAACACAAAGATGTGTTTAAGATATGAGCTACAGTGGTGTATTCATTCTGTTTAGCCACTTCTGAAATAAA